AACATGCTTGAAAAGCCCACACGAATACAAGGAACACAACTGAACATCATTCCCCCCTTTCCATTTAAAAGGCAACTCAGTCATTCATTCCCATGGAGAAGTTACAGAAGAAACATGCATGGCTGATAACAAAGGGAAAAACAAATTTACTAATACAAGTAGGCATAGATTTTGGTCCAAAGAATAACATGCATCTTAATGATTTTAAAACTCTTCAACATCCCTGGAAATAAAATAATCCTTCATGTTCATTTCTACATTTCATAATGTATCTTTGTGCATTAATTTTACTGAAGACCTTACATGAAAGCAGTGAACAAGCACAATGCTCTCACTGACTTAGCTGGGAAAGAAAAGTCACTAACCAACCTCAGACTAAAATATACCCTTCTGACTTCACTGTGTGTAACAACTGCTGTTTTACTTGAAATTACTCTGCATGTCCTCACATTTTAAGCTATTATTTGTCCACCCATGAGCTAGACAGGACAATTATTTAAGCTTCTTCTGAAACAGACCACAGAATGGTCTGGACTACTGAAAGAATACTAATATACAGATGTGACTGTTTTACTTGAGACTGGGAAACACACAGCGCAATCTTACACGAGAGCTCTGCCTCCACATCTGGAGATGTTTACAAACACTTCTCTCAGCATTTCTAGCTCCAGTCTAATCAGAGCTCTGTCCTTCCCCAGAAGTGATATATTTATTTTTAAGAAGAAAGCAGGGAAAATTAAATCTAATGTATATGCCCATCTCCCTCTGAACTGAACACGCACACTTTTTGTTCTGTGCCACATCTGGCAGTTAAGGGCACTGCAAATTAAACATCAATTATTTTCTTTCCTCTATTTTGTTAAATGCTTTAACAAAACAGTGTAAAGACCAGACAACCTGTAACTAACAGCAAAGTTTCCACAGCTTTCAGGAGCTGGCTCCTATAACCATAACTTTATTTGGACTAGCAATTGATTTTTCATAAAACATTAGTACTCTCAACTTTCCATACTAATTATTTAATAATTGTATAGTGATGCAATTTAGCGACCATGATCTTCCTGTGGGAACCACTGACAATTTTCAGTGAAGCAAACACAGGTCTGGTGATAAAGAATACCTTCAAGTCACCAGGGACTTGCACACTTGACTCCAGCATGCAAAGATGAACAGGCCCCAAACTGTGACTTGCTTAGTATTTTGCTTATTCTGACAAGTAAAACATGAAATATTTATATGCAAAGGTCAAATTAGTTCTGCCAATATGCTTTACTGCTCATTTGCCAACAATGGTTCCCATCTACCTTTAGTTCCATCTAAAGTAACTTAAAAGTTTAAGGTTTTACTAACGCAGGTAGATTTTCTATAAAGCACAGCCAAGTCACCATTAGCCTTAAACTATATTTTCCTCAGTATAATTTCTCTCTCTAAACCTTCACCTGCCTTCATCTCCTTTCAAGGTAGCATTATCTTCTCAATCTCTTACACTGCTCACATTGATCCTCCTCTTTTCACATCACTCTGTGTTTGGTTCACTATTTGAAATGCAATTAAAATAATTTCTTAATATATAGTACCACCCTAACTTTAATTGAATATTCTGCCATATCAGGAATACCATCAAGTTAGGGCATCAATGTATCTATCCAAAATGTCTCATCAAAAACAAGCAGCCAAATACGTAGGTGAGATTATATAAAATTTCTCCTAATTCTTGTTGTTGAGCTGTTCCTCTCCTTTCAGAAATCAGTGCTAGCCATCAAAAGTAGAAATTCTCTAGAGGAGAAAATGTCTACCTCTGTTGTTCATTTGCACAACAGCTAATACAAGGAAAACTACAGGAAAAACAGCCATGGTTTTAAAATGTAAGTTGCAAGCACGAAAATTAGCTCTTAAAAAGCAGGTCTAACAGTATGTCAGTAACATTCAGGCCCACCAACCCTTTCCAGAGATCTCAGTCACAGGTGATGACCAATAAGTGTCTGTTAAAATGTATTCCTGTTCAGTCAAAAATAGACATTTTTCCCAGGTATACTTAGGAACTGGCTTAATTCTTGCTATAATTTCTCAAATAATAAGAATTATCAACGTAGCTCTTCAATGTTAAGTGCTTTTAAAAACCACGTGCTTAAGTAGCAAAGAAAAACGTGTGTGCTTTCAATAAAACATTTCAGCAAAAGCCTACTGGAAATCACCTCTTCCATGCAAGCTCCTGACCTCTTTTTCCATTACTGTTACTCCTATGACAGTTTAAGGAGCTGTGTGAACTAGAAACTTTGCAGCTGACTCTGTGAAAGTCTGATTGTCATCAAATGCAATACTTCAAACGTATGCAAAGTACAGGGGTAGAGAAGAGCCAAAGATTATTTATAAATAGAAGTTTCACCAGTGTTAGCTTGCAAAAGAACACTTACTAAGGTTACTTCAAATTAGTAACGACTCCCTGCAGCATTGTGAGTGCCAAGTATCTGAAACACAGATTACAGACCAAATCAATACCATTTTCAGAACCTTTGACAGGCAGTTTTTCTGATCAGCTCCAGATAAGCTCATAACTGACTCACCACTGACTCGTTCCATGAGAGCAGAGGCCCGACTAGTTTCCTTCTCTGCACACACTCGTGTATCTACACATTTGGATATTTCACAATTGCAACAAGAGCATTAACTCAATTAGTTTCTATGGTATAATTATACACTGCTTGGGTTTGGCCTCATGCCTCAGAACACTCTTGCAATGATGACCTAGAAAGACACTGTCTAGCTGGTCTCACGGCCCGAGGGCATCACATCAGAGCAGCACTAACAAGGTGAACAATACTCACCGTTGCTCTACACTATTATATGTAGGCAATTCTTAAAACACTTGTAGCTTGCTAAATTACAGTTTGCTTACACTGACAAGTTACTAATTGACTAATCAAATCCCAGCCCCATTCTGTGCTACTCAGAATTGAGCCCATGAGAGTAATTCAGCTGGTTATGATACTCAGAGGCTCAGCAAATAATCTAAATGCTACTGAATCTTTTTAAACCTTAAGTAATGTCTCCAAATCCATGTACTTTGAAGTCATAAGTAAAATGCCACTAATGCACTGAAGGTTTTGTTGTTTACTTCTCAGAGACATGACTTGGAGTTCTTCCTCCTGCCTTTTTAGCATATTCTGGCAAGACCTCAAGCTTTTCTTCAGAACATCACAGCTAAGAATTTCTTTCTCTAACTGAAAACTAACTTTTTCAAACTTTCACAAGCAGAGATGAGGCTTTCAGAAAAACTGTTAGAGTTGGAAATGCTACTTTTAACATTAACATTTCCACCTACGTGGCACCAATACACGGGAGAAAAAGGAACCAAAATAAAACAAAATGTGATTTGCATATTAGTAACATGCAAATACGGGCCTGTGCAAAGTCCACTGAAGTTAAGAGAGGGACTGACACTGCCTTCCACACCACTTGGATCTGGCCAGCACTGAAGAAAGATATGCAAAAAGGGAGAGAGGGAGGGTGCACTGTATCCCGCCAAGTAAGCACTGCTGCCTTAAGCCAAAGGGAAAGCAAGGCCTGTATCAAGAAAGAGAATGATGTGGGAGTTAGATCAAAGACTTCAAAAGAAAATGTAAGCGTATCACCAACACTGCTGCAAACCTTGAAACAGATTCACTCGTTGGAAATCAAATGTCTCACAATAAATCATTAGCACTAATGCCATACAGCAAACTTGGTTGCCCACAACATCAGGTTCCTGCCTCCCCTTCACACACACAGTAATATACGTTCTGCATGTATATTGTGTTTTGCATTCATCAACTACAAAGCATCCATTTGTGTAATTTCTAGGAACTTAGAAGCAGTTGATCTGTACAGAGGAGGTATAAAAACACAGTGAGTGGAAAAGTCACTTAAAGCTAACACAGGGAAATATGCTTCTGGACTGTTATTCCAAGGTTTTTAGCATTTACCATTAATTTCTGAGAGGACTAATAATTTCTGTAAGGAATACCATAGACCTTAAGTAAACATTCTGAAATATCAGGAATTACATCAATTTAGGGCATCAGTGTATGTATCCAACACTTCACATTAAGAATGAACAGCCAAATACATAGAATTACAATTAATAAACCACTACATCTGTTTGGGCAAAATAAATAAAATCCACTTCCTGTAGACAAAAATTACAAACTAGTAACACTTCGTAGCATCAGAGTGACACGAAGAAATTAACAACCTGCAGAGTACTGCAGGCCAAAGCCTGGCCACTGTCGCATAATGTTGAGAATATCTTAAAAAAAATGAAAAAGAAGTCTTAGAAACACCTTCCAGATTAGCTGCATGACGACAAACCAAGCAGGGCAGGGTCTGATGTAACACCACCCAAGGACACCAGAAAACCCCGCGCCCCGGTCCCCCCCCCGCGCCCCGCAGGTACCACGGGCAGGAACCGCCCCGTTAATGCTCCTGAAGGCCCCGACACCGAGCAGCCTCGCCAAGTTAATTAATAGCAACACACTGCCTAAGAGCATGCCCTCGCTGGTGACTCACTCAAAGGCTCACCCCCGGGGAAGGATGGATGGATGGAGGAGGAGGCGGCTGAGATGTGCAGGGGAGGAAGGATGGGAGGAGGGTGGGAGCAGCTTGTGGTGCCCGGTCCCCCCACCCCCACCCCGTGTGCGGAGAGCCGAGAGGGGAGAGCGAGGGGCAGGAACTGAACCTCGGTCTTTCCTTCTCGCCTGGACCGAGGCGAGAAAACGAGGGGGACGGAAAGCAGCGGCAGCTTCGCGCTGTTCCCGCCGCCGCCACGGCCGCCGAGGCAGGCAGGGAGGGAGGGGGGCTAAAATGGCGCCGCCCGCGCCGGGGAGGAGCCGGTTCCGCCACAGCGGCCGCCCCGCACATGGAAGGCGGCGGCGCCTCCCAGGGCGCGGGGAGGAGCCGGGGCGAGGCGGGGCCGCCACCGCGTCCTCCCGCCGCCGCTGCCGGCGTTCCCCTCAGCCGCTCACCTCCGCTGCTCTTCTCATCTCAACTCTCTCCTCAGCCGCTCCCCTCAGCCCGCCCCTCACAGAATCACAGGATCATTAATGCATATAAGTATCTCAAAAGGCGGGTGAGTAGAGGATGGTACCAGGCTCTTTTTGGTGGTGTCCAGTGACAGGACGAGGAGCAGTGGCCATAATCTAAAAACACACTATGTTTCGCCTCAGCATGAGGACGAACTTCTTTACAGTGAGGCTGGCAGAGCACCGGAACAGGTTGCCCAGGGAGGTCATGGAATCTCCCTCTCCGCAGGCATTCCAAACCCACCTGGATGTGTTCCTACGTCACCTGCTGCAGGTGACCCTGGTACCAATAACACCAAGGTTGTGGGTTAATCCTTGTATGGCCTATTTACTTAAGAGCTGGACTTGATCCTTATGGGTCCCTTCCAACTCAGTATACCCTAAGAATTCTGTGGATCACAGAATCCCTTTGCTTGGAAAAGGCATCTGAGATCTCCTAATCCAACCTATGACCAACCACCACCCTGTCAACTAGACCATGGCACTAAGTGCCAAGTCCAGTCTTTCCTTGAACACCTCCAGGGATGGTTGTTGCAGGTGCTGCCCGATGGGCCATGGCCACCCCTTCCTTCCCTGTCAGCACTGGGTGGTGCTGGACGGCAGTGGGAAGAGCTCCAGGGCTACTGTGAGTGCCAAAATCTGGAGAATTTTGGGAAGAGGTGCCTGGATCCCCCTCAGGAGGGAGGTGTGGGCTTACATAGGTGTCTGACCTCAGCACAGGTGCCAGCCCGCCCTCATCTCTGCAGCTACAGCCCTGTACAGGTGTTCAAAAATAGCACAGTGTGAGCGACAGCGATCCTGGTTGGTCTTTAGCCTTCCAAGTACCACTGGATCCTTGCTACGGCATACTAAGTTGTACTACTTCAACAATGCCATTAATTGTTCAAAGCTGTGCCAAGGAGGTTTAGATTGGACTTTAGGAAGCATGTCTTTACTGAGAGAGTGGTCAAACACTGGTCAGGCACTTGAACAGGATGATCATTGTAGGTCCCTTCCCGATTAAATACACTGTTCTATGCTGGGATGATGAAAGGCATTGAGGTGGTTATATATCTGTGTTTTCCTCTGATTCCCGGCAATGGTGGCTTTCCTTTTCCTGTGTCCTGTCAGCTCAATAGGTTGATGGGGAAGGGCATGACTAGGTGAGCTGGAGCATTAAGCCACCTTTCCTTTCATCTTTTAACCCTTCCTTTCTCCTTTCAACCTTTTCTTCCTTCGACACCTCCTAACTGTAGGTTTCTGTGAGTTTAGTTTGGTCTTTTCGCTCATCACATGCAGGTTTGTTAGGAGACAGGCTGAAGTGTACCATGGTATAAACTGGAATTAATAAGTGGGACCAATACAGCTAAATGGAATAACTGTTAGTGCTTTTTTCACCACCAAAAATCTTACTTTTCTTGAAAGTTTTCAGGGTGTACAAATTCCAAAGTTACGTTCTGTCTTCTTCTTTGACCTTCTCAGCCTATCTCAATTCCAATTCCTGCCTACCCACAGAACAGGGTTCATATAATTTCTCCTAGGACTCATTCTAAGAAACTGACATCATAGAGACTTCATAATTTTATGCAAATCTTAGTATTTTACTTCTTTTTTTATTTGGGGGGGGGAGTGGAGGATAAGAAAAAGAGGAAAAAGAAAGCTCTGGTAACCACTGCAATGATCTTAACACTCCAGGGACTATCTGAATTCCAGTTTATTACAAAGCCATCTTATTTTCTGTCTTTCTCTCTTAGCTTCCTTCTGCTACCCTTAGGTTGGTGGTGGTTTTTTTTTTTTTTGGCTACCATTCACTCCCCGTCCTTCTTACTGCTTCGTATAAACATTCTGCCAGTCCCCTCTGCGTTGCTTCCTCCCTGTTCCCACCTCCCACATCAGCTTCAGAAAGACGAGGTGATTCTGTGGCTGGCTGCCGAGTGCTGCCAGCCTCCCTCCCTTCTGCTGCTGCTTACGATTATGGAAGTAAAGCTGATACCAGCCCGAGCACTGACAGCAACAGGGCAAAACACCAAGATGTTATCCTAGAGAACGAGAGGCCTTATGCTGCTGATTCTTGCCTGCACTGCAAAGTCTAGTGAGTGCTGCGAGGAGGATGCACTAAACTATTCCTTCCTGTTAGACATTTTAAAATATCTGGGCAACCCCAGCCAAAGCAGGGTTACTGATGAGCATCCTGGCCAAAAGGAGAATCAAAGCGTTCTGTCAAGTTGTGAAAGGTACTGCAGAAAAACTCAAGGCAACTCAAGTTTTTAGCCAAATTCTATGATTTGTCAAAACTTTACATTAAACTGAGGAAGGCAAGGCAGCATATTGCTGAGATTTCTATGCATAGTTTCACGTATATCAGAATTGGTAGGACAGACTAATATGAAAACATAGACAAATAGAGAAATTACTATGCCAGTTCCATATGGTAATTTTAATAAGGGGATTACTAGGATAATGTGGTTAAGCATGTCCACTGTGAACTACATAACTTCCAGGAGCTTGGAAAGAGGCAGTGTGACTTGGTGAGGTGCCTGAAAAAGCACTGACAGAAATATTTTCTGACAAACTGTGTTGCTGTGCAGAACCCTTTTGCCTGCAGTGAGAGGTTACCAGTTCAGAAGGGATTGAAGCTGCTGCCCGGTGATGAGCTGAACTGATGAAAGAACATTCCCCCTGTTGCAACTTCTGTAGGTAATAACTCCTGGCAGAATAATTGGACAAGATAGATACCTACTGGCTATGAAATCTGAAATCAATACAAGAAAATCTGCTAGAAAACAGGAGGAAAGAGGAGTGAGGTGTCCTTTCTAGTAGTGTGCCTTTCTCTAGCTCGTAAAAGTGCAGAGGCTGCTCCCTGCTTGGGTCTGAACTCTTACAATACTTCACTGAGAGGAAAAAAACCTGATCAAGTTTTTGTTGTGCATTGTACAGAACCAAAAAAGGGCACATACAAAATTGTTTCCCCTTTCCAGGTCACCTTTCAGATCACAAGGTCATTATAAACTATCTCAGCACTTTTACAAGCTGGAGTCTGCTCAAACCATAATGCTTACAAAGTTTCACTTTGAATAAGCCTGATTTTCTCTGTCATTTGTTTTCACTTTTTATTTTTCTGCAGAACATAAAAAGTCAGAAAAAGATTTTATTTTCCCCCTACATAGCATATAATTTACATCAATCATCCCAGGAGGTCAGTACCACTGGGGTGTCATTTAAATACAATGAATATAAAGTAATGAAGCTCTTGCTGGAGTGGATGGCCACAATTCTCAGAGAGAGAGAGAGTTTCCAAAGCATGTGGAGAAAACACAACGGGAGACCGAGTGAATTCATCACACCACAAAAATGTCTCCATCCTGTCGACAAAGTCATTAAACGAAAATGAACCATTGTTACTCTAGACACTCGCATTCCTTCGGCATAATAACCTCAGCATAGAAGCATTGGGGCAAGGAGAATTTGCACACACAGGAGAAGAAAAAATTCAATCTATTAAAAAAAAACCATAATCCGGATTATGTAATGAAAGAAATCCTCCTTGCTCCAAAGAGGAGACGGAGCCTCTGCAGAAGCCACAACTAATAAGGAACCGTATGCAGTGGTACAGGGCGGTTTCTTCTCCTCCAGCCAACAAGTCAAAGTAAATGCCAACCCAGACAATTTTTTTCAGATAACTCACAAATTATGTTCTCCTTTAATTACACGAATGTTTCTACCCTTTGCTGATCCATAGCCACCCTGGTTTTTAAGATCCCTTGTTGAGATTTCCCCAGTACCATTTCCTTTTTTGTATTCATTTACTTCCAATAATTTCTTCAGTCTCCATTAAAGCAATCTGTGAGGAATGCAGGGATTAGAAGGGTTTGCTGTGTTCAATTTTATTTAATTTTTTGGCAAAGCGTGTCTGAATAGGAGAAAGTGTCACATGCCTACAGTAAATCACAGCATATACCAGTTTATGAAAATAGATTGTACTTCTGTGGATCTCCCTCAAGGAAATACCACTTTAAAGCAAACCACCATGCAGCCTCTGGTCAAAAAACATAGTGTTAGAAAGCTGCAGCAGAGATCCCTCCCTTTATTATAAATTATTCCATAGTATGGCAAAACCCTCTTTGCCATACTAATTAAAACAGAAACTTGCTAATTAAATTACCACCTGTAATTGTCAAAACCATATAGGAATATAATATATAGATTATCTTTTTTTTTTGTTTTTGATACAAAAGCACTACCTTGATTTAAGCAAATAGTGAAGAGAAAATCTCTGCTTTATTTATTTTTAGTAACTGCCCGGGAACAGGGAGCCTGCTCAAAAGTGAGCAGAGCTACTGAGGTAACACATGCCAGCAAACACCAAATCATACCTGTTAATTACAACAAATATGCTCACAGACAACAGCAAGAATGCTATTTATCCATCATTTACAGCGACTGAAGTGCAGGGAAGGGAATTGGTTTCCTGGCAAATGTCCCAATTAATTGAGCATGCTGTTTATTAGGGTGCTGATTAAAGTGTACTCTGCAATATAATAGTCGAGTATGAAGTTGCCAACTCTTATTCACTCCTGGCTTGTATGGATGAAAGCAGGAGAGTAGACTAGCACAATATGAAAATAATGATGCATTCCATGCCAAAATGGATTTAAGGCAATTCCGATGCCTGGAAATTAAAGACCTGGAGAGACAGAATTAGGTAGCACCATGATCTTGAGGATAGAACCTTATGTTGTGTAATCCAGTTGTGTGACCAAGACTTTCAACCTGTAGTAGCCATTTTGCACATATATTAACACTCCTCTCAGAAGCCAACACAGTAGGCACGCCCTTAAGTAAGCAGCATATGAATTAAATATAAAGATAAAAGCAGAGTTTTGTTCCTGACTGATCTGAATCAATGCAGCTGAAGAAAAACTACTTTAGAGGGGTCCTTTTCCCAGCCACCGACTCCTCCAGCTTCTCCAATCAGCTGCCCTAACTGAGACTGTGGCTTAAACAGTGTTTGTTTGTTGTACCCTTTTCAAAACCATGGCTTCCACAAATGAGGTTGGGAGTTTCCACACACAATCAAGGAGGCTTATCCTAATAATTGTATATATTATCTGAAGTAACGCTTGAGGTTTGATCTCAACCAAGATAACCACCAGAGCAAACCAAAATCATGATTTGTACCAGCGAAGAATTTCTTGG